AATTCTTCAATTCCCAATATCCAAACCCTTCAAATTCCAAACTTCCAATCCTCAACACCAATACTCATTGCTGCTACTATATGCCAGATAACACGTATTTCTATACGTATCTGATCGATGACTAGCCTTAATCGAAAGTTCTCTCTCGTGATCGGGAGGGGTAATTAACTATAGGGGCTTGCGCCTATAGGAAACCAGAACTCAGATCATAAAGTCCTCACAAAATGAAGGCGAAATCTCTGGGTAGTGTCTTCTCTACAAACCCATCTGCCTTCCAAAATTTACCACGGAACTTAGTTCGTTAAAACTCCCCTCGCCGAAAATTAAAAATAAAAAGAAATCAAGCGAGTGGAGGCCGGGGCCGAATTTTCGGAGCCCACACTGGCACACACCATGTAGCACTTTGTCCCATAAAAGATTTAAAAAGTGGCCGCCATTGCATGTCATTTTATCTTATATGACACTTAATTCCCATCTTTTGGCCAGCGCATTACTCTAATATCATTTGTACAGCTCAAACTCTAAACTATCGAGGTATTATCTGCTTTGGCCTAATGGCCTCACGATGTTCTCCCATTTGTGTAACTTCCCAGAAGGTCACCCATCTTAGGATTGCTCCCACATGACCATACTTAACTTTGGAGTTTCTTAACAAAATTCCAACCATTATACCAAAAGGCGCATTGATATTTAAAAGTTTAGCTTCTTTTTATTTAAGAGATTTCACAACTTTTATATTATGTTAGAAAGGAATCAAATTGTAAAATACTACATTTACTTAATTTCCTTTTCAAAATATGCATATATGTGACTCTAGAAAAAATACATGATATATATATATATGCTTAGTAGAATATCCTCAACAATTGTTAAAAAAATATAATAATAAATAGAAAAATTCTTATTATAAATAACTAAGAAAAAATATATTAATTTAGAAAAAATAATAATTTATCATTCCAATCTTTATTTTTCATTGCCCATCCAAGCACCTTGCAGATAATCGACCAACATATGCATTACTTATAACCATTCTACAAAACTCTTTGATGAGGACATCGGCAGGAGATTTCGACGTGTTTACCATCGGAGGAATCGTAGATCGACGGCTACGATTCAGAGTCTCTATTTATGATGCATTTATGTACTTCTTTTATTTATAATTCAGATTTTACCATTGTACACCTATGAGGGATTTCTTTTATGTTGTAGCCCCGAGGACATTTGAGTCTTTATTTTCTCTTATTTCTAGATTTATATATAGAGTTCTTCACTATTGTATGAGGTTAATGATTGATTAATGAAATTTCAGCTTTTGGTTCTTTGTTTTCTTGTGAGCTCTTGAGAGAAGAGAGAACCCTAGGAGATGGTCAAGCATCACCTGTCAGTCGCTGGCAGAGGCTGGGCTCGCAACTCATATCCGTTTTTATTTTATTTTCCCCTTCCTTTTTCCCCCACCAGTGGGATAAAGGCTTGATGTTGTTGTTGTTGTTGTTGTTCCTTTTTCCCCCACCACCGCCCCCCTCCCCTTTTCCTTCCAACCTGCCGGCCAATCCCTCCATCCCCACCCTAAACTACCGGCCAACCTTCCCTTTTCCCCCACACCGCCGGCTTAGCCACCACAAATCCCCACCATCGGCCCCCCAAAACCCCAACCCAAACTCCACCCAAATCCCCTTAGCCGTCGGCCCCCACTAGCCCTAGCCTAGGCCGCCGGCTTTCCCCCCTCTCCAAGTCCTTGTTTTCAAATTCAAAAGGCCTCTTAATACCTTCCTAATTTAGCTTATTATTAATTTGGAAAGTATATTAATTTGAATTCAAATAATATTTGAAATTCAAAATCTTTCCTGATTAGTAAATCTATTTTAGGAAGCCCCCCTAATCTCTCCAAGTCTGAAATCAATTGGAATTAATTCCAATTTCAAGATTCATTGCACCTAGACACATTCATTAAATGTGGACAACCCCTCCCTCCCCTTTCTTTGGCCGCCCCCTCTCTCTCCCTTCTTGCCGCCGTCCCCTCCCTCTCTCTCTCTCTCTCCACTTAAAATTGTTTCCCAATTAAAACTCAATTTCCCCCATAATCCCTCCACCAATTAGAAAATTTAAATTCAAATTCTCCCTCCTTCCCTCTCAAATTAACTCCAATATTAATTTCTACTCAAGGTTAATTAATCAAGGAATTAATTCTATCCTCTCCTCTTTACTCCTCTTACCTACATCCCTAACCCCACGGCCCTCCTAGCCTTGGCCGAAATCCTCCCCATTCTCACCTTCCCCCCCTCTTCTCTTCTCCTCTACTTCATATACCTCCAAGGGATAAGCTTCACACATCGGCCTCCTCACCATGAATGGTCGGCCCTCAAAGAGACTACGGCTTCGTATATGATCTTCAAGGACGAGTAGATATCCTCATGTCTCCCTTCTTCAACCTCGACTTGGAGATTGATGACACCGTCGACTACGTCGACCGAATCTTTTTCACCTTGACATCTGCCATCGAAGAACATCAAATCTCCGGACAGTAGCGAATCATCAGACATCCACCAACTTCTTTCTTTTGGTGGCATCTCTAAGTTTGTTGAAATTATTCTTCCGCTGACCCCACCATCAAGAGTGAAAGTGAGGGGAACTCAAGGTGAACTTTCTTTTGTTAAAAGGTGAATTTTTGTTATTTATGCATCTAACGTTACTACAAGCTTGTTCTTATTTTAAATTGTTCTGTTAATGTTTCTTGTAACCGCATGTCAAAGCACATCTGCAACTAAGAAATCTTAGACTCTTATCGTGGTGAAACATTAAGTTTAAAATTAGTGAAGCTTAACATCTTGTTATTAATTCCTAAGAAATTTCTGTTTCAGTATATGTTTTACATCACCCTTGCTATGTTATCCTTCATTCAATTCATTAATATGCCCCTGAAGCATGCCAATCACACTCCGCCCCTAACCAAGTGATAGGTACCACTTGAGTATTTCAAGTGATTCCTATCGGATCTAAGCCAAATCGCAACTATTCCGCTGTTTTCTATGGGAAAACAGCCACCAAACACAAAAAACAGTGGAAAAAATCTGAGAGAGATCGTAGGAAAAATAGGAAAAACAATAGCAAACGATTGAATTTCACTAGTCGATGCAAAAGACAAGAAAGATACAAGTTCCTTCGATTCGAGAGGAAGGAAAAACTCTTCAAATCTCTAGTCGTAGCCTAGAGCCCAAAAGAAAAACCTAGATCTTCCAAATCACATTCAAAATCAAGATAACCCTCATTCCCCCCTCCTCTCCCTAATTAAATATGAAAGGAGAGTTACAAAAGACCTAATTACCCCTTCTAATTCAAATTCTCCCTCCCACAATTTGAAATTGTCTTCAAGTGGGCCCCCTAGCTTTTCCGCCCTCCCCCTGTTTGCCTGGCTTCCGCCGGGAATAAACCTGGACCGGTCCAGGTTGGACCGGTCCAGCCGGCTCAGGTGCCAGCCTAACACCAAGCTGCTAGCATAGCTATGCTTGAACGGGGGCATTGCATCCTCCCTCCATTCCCTCTTTTCTTTTATTGAAAGAGACATGCCCTTGATCTCTAAATGAGGGGAATAAACCTCATTTGGTCTCTGATAAACAGAGACCCAGCAGCACCTACCTCAACCGTTGTTAGATTAAACAGGGTTAAAGCAAGCTTCCCCATTTTAAAGCCAAAGCCACAGAAGCTTTGATCTCCCAAACAAGCTAATTACAACTTAGAAACGGATGATTTTATTACATACCAAAGGCATCCTCTTTATCATTAATAGGCCTTATCCCAACAATTGGGGTCTGCGTACCAAAGCATAAAAGTAGAATACTCAAAATACCATAGAAGCATATTATAGCAGCGTACAGACTAATCACAATGATTGCAACACTAATCAAGACTATTAACGACCACAACAGCATGCTCAAAAGCCCAAGAGCAATATAAAACATGCCAAAAACAACTACCAAAGACATCAAAATCAGGAAACCTAGAAAAAACCACAAGAAACAAAACAATAAAACAAGAAACTATAAAGCTAATAATTGGTCTATGCTAAAATTCCTAGTAATATGATATAATTCAAAGATTTGATTTATAGAAAAAAATTATAAAGCATAGAAATACTTTTTTTGATTCATCAAGTTTTTAATAGCTTCCTTAAAAATTCAATTTCATAAAAAATTACAATGATTATATGAATTACCAAGCTACTGAAACCTTTTTCAAAGAATGCTAACATTTTTTTTACACATACTGTTTGATTGGAAATTGAAAAATAGCAATTGAACATCCATTCAAACATTATGACTCGTTTGGAGCACTAGCAGAGTAACAACATGCCACCTACGTAGGAATTAAGAAAATATTAGAATTTTTAATTCTGAAATATCATCCTTTCAGATCAGTTATGATTAAAAAAATTTGAGCCACGTGAATGATGACATGCTAAAAAAAGTGCTAGTTTCAAATAAGACTCAGTCATACCGGGGATCATCCTGAAGCCGTTCTCTAGGAAGAAGTAGCATGAAATTTCGGAAATGACTGTAAGATATAGATCCTTCTTTATCTGCATTAAGATACCGCATCATGGCAACAGCATTATTTTCATTTGCCGGAAGCCCAGCACTTCTAAGAGATGTCAAGATTTGGTTCCTTTGAAGCGTTCCAGATTTGCTCAAACATAGTGTTGTATAAGCGCGAAGAATAGTTGGTTCCCTCTGATCCATCAAGGACAAAAATTGTTTCCAACCTATTGATTTTGAAAATAAATGTCCTCGAGTGCGACGGAAGAATTCCCTAGCATACTTCTTTGGTAATCTTCTTTTTCTCATTGCAATTTCTAGGTCTTCGAGAGTTACATGTCCATCTCTATCTCTATCCAATTCTTCAAAGAATCTCCTTCCTGTAAAAGTATTATTTTCGTTGCCTTTAAAAGATAATAAGGTGGTATGTATGTAAATCTCAGCATCCAAAGATTAAGAATTTTTTACCTTCTGCCTCTGTATACTGGAAGAAGTGCTGAACAGAGAACAGCTTTTTCTTGTCTGGATGATCTTTAGAGGTCCGTCCCAGCTGAAGAACAAGTTCTATCAACTCTCCTATGGATAGAGTTGAAAGCGTCGATTTTAGCCTCTCAACATTTGATAGTGGTATACTAATCAAAGCATTTCGAAATTTTGGCTGCACTACGACACTTGTAGGCTCTTCCTTATTTCCAGATAAACCGCAAAAATCGCACTCCTCCTTCACAGAGGAATGCTCCCCTACAAATCCTGAATGCAGTCCTACCTTAGCGAACCTTATATTGGATAAAAATCCGTCGAAATCTTCTTTCCTGCCTTTGATTATCTTCAGAAAGTCAACATGAGAAGCCAAAGGCTTGAATGTGCCCGATTGATCGTTCCTCTCCCCACCAATCCCCCTAATACGATGATTAAACTCCTTAAAACTACTAACGAAAGCTTCCAACGCAAGGCAAAGACTTCGCTCCAACCAAAACGCTTCCGCTTTCTTCGCATCCGAGACCGTCGTCTTGTCCGCAGACAACGAACCCATCTCACATTTTAATTCCTTCCGTCCAAACTTCGAAGGCAATGTTTCGTAGTTCTGACAACACTTTTTACTCGATTTAAACGGAAGCCTACCGGAAAAAATCGACCAGGCATCGTCGAATCCAAGACAACTAGAGCACGAACCTTCTTCTTCCTCTGAGTTCATTCTACCCACTATCTTCCCGCATCCACCAAACCCCTTCTTCAAGCATATCTTCCCCTCACCATCCGTAATCACCGACGATGCAACAACGCCAGGAGGTTTCTTCTTCAATTCATTCCTCCTCAACGCATTCCGAGAATCCAGAAATCGGGATTCCAAATCCATGACGGCTCGCCGAACACCGGATTCAATAGGCGATAACGCAACTCCGACGGCATGGAAGCGATCGTTCAAGAAGGACTCCAAGGGCTCAGCGATGGAAGCCATTGCTTGGATCTCCAGTTCATAAGAATCGGACAGTACAATCTGCCAAGAGGAATCGGAAAATCCGGTTTCTGAGAGCAGCAACGACGAACAGTGAGCGGAGCGGAAGAGGAGAAGCCTTTTTGGTCTGGCTTTATCAGGTCAGAACTTTTTTGGATAATGCAAAGCGAGTGAGCTGACGTGGGCTCGAGTATGATGGGACCCAACAACAGCTTTTTCGTGGTTGGCGCAATTTTGGGTGCGATGTTGGTCCCTCAGAAAAGTACCGAAAAAAAAAACTGGCGATCGAGTGCTGAGAAGGTTGGACGAGCGTAGATACGATGGCTCTAGGATTTTGACAGCTGGCTTCTTTTTATGAAAACAATTATATCAATTTTAAGATTAATTATTATTATTAATTTATTATATCACAACCCTCTTAAAATAAATTTTTATAACTATTTTAAATTAAATAAAATATTAATTCTTCGTGTATTAAATTTATTTTAAAATAAATTTTAATGAAAATACGTTGAAAAAAATAAAATAATTGACGGACGTGATGATTGCGTAAGATGTACGTTGCAATATGATTTATTGATTTGGATTCCATCAATAACATGGCGACACGTGGAGTTCGTTCTACTGTGTAAACAAATGGTGGATGCGGCGAGGGTTATCCATAGGAAGCTTTGGGAAAAAATATTTAATAAATGGTATATAAAATTTAATTGTGTGATAAAAAAATTAAAATAATTGGGAGAATTAATGAGGAGATAGAATTTTAAGGTTATCGGTTTCAACAGAATTTTAATAATTGTGGAAACTATATAATATTATCTATTAAAATCAATGCAGATATTTAAATAATATTTCATTAGTATTTTATTTAAGAAAATGATAAAGACTGCTTATCTTATTAAAGAAAGCAAGCTTTTGTAATATTTTGAACAGTTCAGCAATTAGTGTACTGTGGATTGACTTTTCAATTTTCTAATCTGAAATTTTCTTACAAAAATGAAATCAAAGGGCAGCTTTCACAATTGTTTAGGTTTATTTTACTGTTTATTAAAATAATTTTTTAGTAAAAAATTTTAATCTTTATTCTTGAAATTCAAGATAATCATTGTACTCATTTAGATACTAGCTTTAGAATGGAAGTGCTAATAACTGTGAAATATTAAATTTTCCATATTAAATAAAAAATTATATACAATTTATCAAATTTGAGTACTTAATGATCAAACCTGGTTAAGTTGATCATTTCAGGCTCATGAATGTCCATCCCAATCTCATGACAAATTATTATATCCAGATGCCGAACGTCATCTAAAAATCAATCAGAATGCGCCACATCACCCCCGTTCAGTACTGCAGCTCGGTATTGCATTCTGATTGATCTCCAGATGACGAACTGCGTTCGGAGTCTGCACAGAATAATCTCTCCTCATGACACTCATAGACCTACATGTGGGTTGCTGGAGCCTGCAGCTATGACACCCAGTCCACTTACCTGAGCTGAAGTGATTTCTGGTTCTTCTTCTCTTACTATGTTAGAAGGTGATGCTGTTTTATCATAATCAATATCATGCACAAGCTCATCGATCTTTCGAAACTGGTAAGGCCATCTTGAATTATAAAGAAACTGACGAAGATCAAATCTGTTATCTTCAGGGGAGTAGCTCTGCAGGTAAAGAGTTTTTTTTTTTTTTACATAAAAATACAGAAAGGTCGCTTAAAAAGAAGCAAGTGAGATTAATGATACTTCGGCATGGTAGGAAGGTGTCAGCACGGTCATTTTGTGTCGATTGATTGAGTAGTACTTGAAGAAATGCTTGACTTTGTCAGCCACTTCTGATGGAGAAAACTTACCATACCATTTATAGCAGAGATTCTGCAAAATGAGAAATAGAAAAGGAGAGCAAAAAAGCTTTAATCAATAGGATTCACATTTATATCACAAAATTCTCATGTTTTTTCATATCAAACACATATTTTTATATTTAACTATACATCAATTAAATCTCAAAATAACATAAAAAAACACCAACGTGAGGACGGCTACATGAATCCTTTTTCGCCAATGTGTCCTGTTAAAAGTCAAATTCTTATTTAAATCTAATAAAGAGAGATCATTTTTAATATTTTCTAACCAAATCTTTTTAGGTCTACATCTACCTTTCTTAACATAAGTCAAATCATCTGGGTCATCGGAAGGCCTCCGTTTAATGTGATGGAACCATCTAAGGCGACTTTCGCTAATTTTATCTTTCACGGGTGCTACTCCAACCTATATTAATTTATTTAAAAGTAAAATACATCTTTTCATGTATATACTTTGATGTGAATGATAAACAATATTAAAATGAAAGTCATAGATTTGTTAATGCATAAAAATATTATGATATGTATATAGATTCCCCTAAGATAAAATGACCCTGTTTTTCTAAAATTTGAAGCAATATTAAAATGTAGATACGGTGCGCAAAATATAGGCAAATGAAGTCTTCAGACTGTCCAATGTATGATCTTAGGGTTATGACTTAGGTGACAGAAGTCTTTTACAGGGTTATATTGGTTTAATGGCTACTGCAGATGCAAACAGCAAATAAAAGGTGGGTTACTCAAGTGGATAATCTGTGTACCCAAAAAATCTCATTCCAGTTCAAATTCGTATTGAAAATTTGCTTCTTCATGTAATAAGTTTAATGATCGCCAATTAAGAGCGTGTAGTAATGACAGAATAAGGCTTCATTTAGGACGGCTTTCTTCCTGCTTTTTAAAGCAATTTTCTAGTAAAAGAATAAAAAAAATTTAACTAAAAAGTCATTTTAAGAAGCAATAAGAAAGTCATCCGAAACGAAGCCTACGAAACTAATTAACCAAGAGAGAATCATACAAAATAATTTTTGGAAGATGTAGAAATAGGGATCGGAAAATAACCTGAAACATTGACACAGGGCCGCAGCGAAATATCTTTCGAAGCCTTCCAAATACTGACAGTTCCTCATATGTCATGCCCATGTCTGCTTCATCTAACTGCAAGCATCAACAAAAGCTATAAAAATCTAAGAAGACTTAATAAGTTATACTTCAAACATAAAGCAACCTTGCAAGATTAAACAAGCCAAACACAAACAAGACTCTTGAAGATTAGGTTCTAACCAAAACCTTAAAAATTGTTGACTGTTTTGCAGATATTATGAATGATTAACTTTGAAAGGTCATTTTCAAAGCCTTTGCCTTAGAATGAATTCTCAATTTGTCGCATAAGGTAGTAACCCCTCGAGCTAGATGAAAAATCCTAATATATATTGACTCATAAAGATGCTAAGCTTAAAATTAAAAATAACAAGGTATTTAAATTAAGTAGTAATGAAATGGATCATTTAACTGGATCTTTTAGGTCATTATGATTAGAGGAGTAAACAAGTTGAACTTGAGCAAACTTAATGCGTATTTATCTTTGGCCTGTTCGATTTTTTTTTTGTTTGAATTAGGCTCGTGTTAGGAATTGTTCGTACAAGAAAGGCATCAGGGAGAACATTCTTTATGGGAAAGATGGTGCTTCCCTTGATGAGATTACACATGCTGCTAAGCTCTCAGAGGCAATAACCTTCATTAATAACCTTCCTGATGGTTATGAGACACAGGTAATCAATCTACTTTTTTTATTGCAAATAAGGGTGTAAACAAGCCAAAGATGAAGAATTTTGACACCCTTTACTGAAAACTAGAACAGTAAAGGCCTTTACTGTTGTATGATTCCATTTGTACTTGTAGGTTGGAGAAAGAGGAATCCAATTATCAGGAGGGCAGAAGCAACGCATTGCAATATCTAGAGCCATACTGAAAAACCCTTCCATTCTCCTCCTTGATGAGGCCACTACTGCTTTGGATGCTGAGTCTGAAAAGAGTGTACAAGAGGCACTTGATCGGGTGATGGTTGGCCGCACCACAGTTGTGGTGGCACATAGGCTTTCAACAATCAGGAATGCTGATATCATTGCTGTTGTTGAAGGTGGAAAGATTGTGGAGACAGGAACCCATGACCAGCTTATTTCACAGCCTCAAAGCATGTACTCATCACTTGTTCATATCCAAGATGCTGCAAGTCTGCGAGGCTCCTCTGAGAGTTCAAGTTTTAGGAGACCTCAAAGGTAATGATCATGCATGCAAGTTATAAAATACACTCGCTTTGCAATTTATCCTATTTTTTGTTTCCCTTAGCGTCAAGTTTTCACGATAGCTCTCCCTTGGAGCTACAAGTTTAGGAGCCAGCTTCAGATCTGATAAGGATTCAGTTGGCCACTTTGTTCCTGAAGCAAACGATCCTTCAAAAAAGAAGTATGTTTCTGTGGGAAGATTATATTTCATGGTTGGTCCTGATTGGATTTATGGGGTGTTTGGCACTGTGGGAGCTTTGGTGGCAGGTGCACAAATGCCACTTTTTGCTCTTGGAGTAACACAGGCTCTTGTTTCCTATTACATGGCTTGGGAGACCACACAAACTGAAGGAATTGTTCGCATTTTGAGAGTCTTTATTATGATCAGGCTAAAGTAAAGTAATACATAATCATGCTATAACTGATTATATAACAAAATAAACAAAATGAGATAAATAGAACATCAAAAAGTGCTCCCGTGTACTTAAAGAAAGTTAAACATATATAAAATTGCAATTGAAGTTCACATTTCAACAAATTAACTACTGGATGAGAATAACAGTGAGCTTTAAGTAGTAATACCTGATTATAATCGGAGCGTATTGGTTCTAATTCAGCAGTAGGAGGTGCAGCTTCAACTTCTGCCAAAGAAGGATAATCGAGATGAAAAGCTGCCCACCTCAAGAAAGATCTAAGATCCTGCTTGCTTATACTCCCAATTGGATTTATATCTGCTGAACTGCAGTCATACTTAAACAAACATATAATAGTGTTAGTTAAAATGAAATTGTTGCATTAATTGCTGGTAATACATATTAAATTTATATATAGTTATCTTCAAGGTTGTTAAATAGTAATTAATACAAGTTTTTAACTCGACAAGGAAATAAATACAGAGAACAGATGATTGAAAAGAAAAAGCTAAGTGATGTAGAAAAAAGAATTAAGGGATTCAATTTCAACCATAAGTTCCTCCTTCAACCATCTAATGTTCCATATCTTTCCAGGACAATCTCATAAGAAAGTAAGGCTTCGTTTGGGACAGCTTTCGTATTGCTTTTTAAAACGACTTTCTAGTACAAAAATTTCAAATTCAAAAAATTTTTCTACTAGAAATTGTTTTAAAAAGCAAGAAGAAAGCCGTCCCAAACAAAGCCTAAATTTGGGTACTTAAATTAAAAGCTTTGAAACATTTTCTCTACATAAGAAATAATATTGCTCACCCTTTACCTTCTATAACTAGATGACATTGACAATTTCAACATTAACTCACTTTTCAACATTTTGACCATTAAGAATCCTACCTGACAAGAAAGCAACAAAAATAATGTGTACCTTTGTTAGATAACCTCGTAATGCTTCATCGACGTTTGAACTGCCCAACACAAGATAGAATCCAGATTTATTATGAACCCATGGCATTAGAGAAGCCATCATAAATGCAAGAACCATCCTAATTCGAGCTTGAATATTCTGCAATGCTAAATTTTCAGCATTTGATCCACCATCAACCTGAATTCAAGAAAATGTTCAAACATTATTACTCCAATATAATTGCTGAATATCTATTATTGCATTCTAAACAACCTGGGCTGGTACTGCACCAAATAAAAAAAAGGCATTTATGGAAAGCCAAAAACCTCAAAAACCTATTATCTTAACTGATAGAAAAAATGAAGGCACATTAAAAAGAGATGATTTCAGCTCAATTAAAAACTAGAAATCTCCATTTCAATCAGCAAATTAAGAAGAACAAGACTAGGTAAGGATTTTTTTTTTTTTTACAAGACTAGGTAAGGATGAGTATTATGCAAATTATCAAATTATACATACAATCTTAACCTAAAATGAATGTAATTTTCCATCACAGCAACAACAACATCAAACATTATGGGGTCGGCTACATGAACCATTTTTCTCCATTGTGTCTTGTTAATTAAAGAATTTATGTCGTGATTATTCGTCAAGTTTTATGCATGCTGTCGACTATCTAACACAACCATCCACTTTTCTCATCCAGGACTTGTGACTTGGCAACGACAATATTTAAATGGTTGGGGCATGAACCAAAGAATAATCTATAATATCTCCCTAAAAGTAAAATAAAATATTATTAAAAGCGCAAGCTACCTCAAGCCGATATGGCCACCAATACACAAGGTGCTAAAAACCAACCTAAATGCTTACCTAAGTGAGGTGCGATAAAAGAAATAATTGCTTCACTTAATAAATATATTTAAAAAATGAAGACTACGAAAAGGGATATTATAAAGTTCCAAGAGAAGTGCTCATGAAAGTTCTATAAAAGAAATAAGTTAATAATACTTATATTCATATCATTATGGATATGTATGCCGGAGTTGTTACTTGTTTTCAAACACAAGGTGATTTGACTAAGCATTTTCCTATTTTAATTGGATTGCATCAAGGACAATTTTAAGCCATATCTTTTGCTTTAGTCATGGATGTTCTTACTAGACATTTGCAAGATGCTGTACCATGGTGTATACTTTTGGCTGATGATATTCTTCTTGTTGATAAGACTAGAGAGGCAGTTGATGAAAGACTTGAATTATGGATGCCAATATTGAATCTAAAGGATTTTGGTTGATTAGAATTAAAACCAAATACATGAAATATAATTTTAGTAGTAATAGATCTAGTGGTGGGATTGTGACCTTAGGATATCAAGTCACTAAAAAGAGTGCATGTCCTAGATATCTTAGGTCTATTGTTCGAAGCGATGATGAAATAGATTGGGATATTATTAGTAGAATTTAAGTTGGATGGTTGACATGGAGGAATGCATCGGGCATGTTATGTAATAACCCAAACTCTTAATTATCGAGATATTGATTGTTTTAGCCTAAGGGCCTCACAGTTTTGCTCTGTTGGTGTAACTTTCCCAAGAGATCACCCATCCCAGGATTTCTTTGGGATGAACACGTTTAACTACGATGTTTCTTAATGAAAAATTTCAACCATTACACCAAAAGGCGTCTTGATGTTTATGAGCTTAGCTTCTATTACTTAAAAGATGTTTCACAATCTCCCTCACTTAAGTAACTGATGTCTCGATTAGAATCTTTATCACATAATCATACACCAGGAAAATAAGATTCTAGAGGTGGCCCCTATAAGTTCAAGTGGTGACTCCCGCCGTGTCGAACTTTGTTCAAACAGGGTTCAGAGGCGGCTCCTCTGGCCTAGCATTTTATCTTGTATGACACTTAGTTCCCATCTTTCGGCTGGTATATTACTCTGATACCATTTTTAAAAGCCCAAACTCTTAACTATTGAGATATTGTCCACTTTGACCTAAAGGCCTCACAATTTTGTCATGTTGGTATAACTTTCGAGGAGAACACCCATCCCAGAATTTCTTCAGGATGAGCACGCATAATTGCATAGTTTATTAATAAAATTTCGACAATTACACCAATAAGAGAGTCGATATTTAAGAGTATAGCTTATTTTACTTAATGGATTTCACATGTTTGATAGAAAAGTATCCCTCAAACTTAAGGCAAAATTTTATAAGTGGTGATGAGACCTGCAATACTTATGGTGCAAAATATTGTCCATTACAAGAGAAGCATAAATTTAAGTTAAGTGTTGCAGAGATGAGTATGCTCAAGTGGATGAGTGGCTTTCCACTTAGAGACATAATATAAAACAAAAAATATACATGAAAATGTTGGAGTAGCTCTAGTGGCGAATAATATTAGAGAATAGTTTTAAAATTAGATTTAAATAAGAATTTGACTCTTAATATAACACAATGTATAAAAAGGATCATAAAGCCAATCCCACGTGGTGAGATAAATGTTTGTTGTTGTTGTGGAAACTTTGAAAAATATAAAATGATAATCAACATTGAAATTGTGTTATAAAAATAAATTTTTAGAACCTATATTACACTTGAATTCCTAAAATCTTCTTGAATGAATTATCTTAAATAAAGTATTTGAACAAAATGTTTAATAACTTGAAAATTTTAATTGCTTGAGTTTTTAGCATGCATAAAGTAGAGAAAATAAATTTCTAACCCCCCATCACTAGAACACCACCCCCACCCCACACCACCTCACTACAAAACCCACGCACCTTCCCACGTTTTGACAGAGAGTCACAACTATTCACCCAAATTTTGGAGTCATTCAAGCTTAAAATTTGTTTAAGGTTTATTTAATCAAACTAGGATTTGTAATTCCCATAATTAGGTCTAACTAAATTTCTAATTAAAACAACATAATATTAATATGTTAAATTAATTGTACAAGTTTTGCAATTATTTAGTACAAATTTGGGTGAGGTTTGGAATCCTTTCAAAAAATTAAAATAAAAAAAGATGAGAAATATGCTTAACAGGTCAATTTTGATCCATTATTATTTCTCTTCCTCCTTGAAGTTACAAAAGTTGTTGGGTCAAGCAAACTCAAGCCCCTGTCGCTCGAGAAACTGGCAAATAACACATAATGCGACTACTTTCTCACCCAAATGCAAAACCTACCATAACACAACCAAAGATCACATACACAACATAAAAAAATCATAGTAGCCATATAATCCTTCCCCTAAGAATCACATGACTTATAATCATAGACACCGCTAAAATTGTTCATTCCTCCCTAAAGTTTCACGCTAAATCAATAGCCCTCAACCTCATCAGCCTACATCTCTCCCAACTCTCCTCATCCATGACACCAAGAAAGACCAAAATTAAGAGAACACCAACAACCCATTTCTTGCATGTTATATGCCAAGTCCATGCAAGATCTACCAAATACTTTCACCTTCTCTATATATATGTTATTCTCTATCAAAAAACACCAATGGAAGAAGCTCGACATAACTACAAGTGAAATTCATTTTTCGCCCTCGAATTCATGATTGCAAATATAGAATTCCATCTTCATGAATCACCTAGGATAAATAAACACACAAAAAAAAACATTTTCCGAGGCTTTCAGGCAAATTCAATTCAAAATTAAATAGGCAAGCACCTCATTGCCTAGCACCAACAAGTCACATGCTAACATAAGCAAAACATTTAATGGCGCTCACCTAAGAGGCGTATGAATCCCATTGGCCTAACCTTGTGCCACCTCACTCGAGTGCTTAAGTGGTTGGTTAGATCACCTTTAACAGCAGTAGTCGAAAGTGGGCTGGATCACCTTTAACAGCACTAGACACTAGACAAAGGTGGATGTAAATGTGTAGATGCCTGATATATAGGACATAACATAATGATTAGAGAAAATGACACATGAAAACAACAAACTATCAAAGGACATCAAAATAATTAAAGTTCTAATTGTGCCTTTTACATCATCCATTGATAATGAAGGTTCAGATTGTGTAAAATCAGCTTAAACAAAAAATCAAATATGAAAGATCAGAGGCTTGGGGACGAGCAATCAGAATCAATGCCAAACAAGCTGAAAGTTATTTAGAAATAAAAATTTATCTTTATACAATAACCAAACAACACCTACCAATGGAAGGCCTTGCAGCAGTTGCAGATGCTAAAATGTCTAAAGGCAATAATTGCCACTTAATATGCAATCTTGTACACCAGCGCAGAATAAATTTCTGAATTTATAGAGAAGCAAATAAATTGGGATACCAAATTGATACAGTTACCAGCGGTTCGGACCAACTATAACTGAGACAATATTAAGTTCAAAACTTACTAATCAATTATTCTAAAATGTAATAGTATTGCATGTAACCCTCTTACAACATCATACATATTTTTAATAATCACATGTAGTGCATGCTAAAATAGTATAAAGGTACAAAAAATGAAGTCCAGTATTATTTTGCATTTGATTACCTTGTAACGTGGTTTCCTCCCTGTTACTGTTTGGAACAAAGAGAGAAGAGCGAAAATAACAGTGTCTATATTTACATCAAGGTGCCAGGAACCTATTTCTTCAGCTAATTTCTTTGCTCTAGCCCTTGTAGCATCAGAGCTGAAAGGAATAAAGAAAAAAGTCATCAAAGACAACAAAATCAACAAAATGTGCTGATGTGCATAGTCAAAAAGAACAGATGTGGGTAATGATGCATGGACATGATATACCAGAGTTTATTAGAAGCAATACAAGAGTAGGATGAGAAACGAAAAATAGTATAGTTCATGAAAAGTCACAATGGGATTTATTCCATGTTCTTGGACAGAATGAAAATAACATAAGGATTCATAAAGTCAACCTCAAAACAGTTGGCTAAAGCTAAAGAAGATGGTAACTTACTTACAAGGAATAAATAATTTCTCTAAAGAAATCACACAAGTTTATTTTTTCTTGATTTTAAACCATCAGCTTCAAAATGATCTAGACTAACCTGATACGCCTTAGGTTTCACAAATTAGGGTTTGCCCTAATTCTCCTTCAAGGATGAAATTTCTCCACCAAATCAAAGTTAACCCAAAACAAGAAGAATGAGAGGAAGAAAAAAAAAGAGTTTTGCATTAATCTTCAAGACAAACAAAAGACAAAGCTAGTCCACTTCGAGAATGATCAAATCTCCCCAAAAGAAACCCTAGAGAAAACAAGAAGGAAAAGATAAAGAACTTTCTTCACATGATGCCCCCAAAATAAACCCTAATGGTTCCTTTCATACAATCTCACAACTTCCCCCTCATCCCTAAATTTCCCCCCATCATCCACCCAAAACCTGGCCGCCCCCCTTGATGCCCAAGGATTCAAGTAAGTGGGCCCATGGGGCCCACCGTGACCCTCTCCCCTTGCTCACCAGGTTCGGCCCCCCCCCCCCCCTTCTGCCAAAGAAGGATAATCGAGATGAAAAGCTGCCCACCTCAAGAAAGATCTAAGATCCTGCTTGCTTATACTCCCAATTGGATTTATATCTGCTGAACTGCAGTCATACTTAAACAAACATATAATAGTGTTAGTTAAAATGAAATTGTTGCATTAATTGCTGGTAATACATATTAAATTTATATATAGTTATCTTCAAGGTTGTTAAATAGTAATTAATACAAGTTTTTAACTCAACAAGGAAATAAACACACAGAACAGATGATTGAAAAGAAAAAGATAAGTGATGTAGAAAAAGAATTAAGGGATTCAATTTCAATCATAAGTTCCTCCTTCAACCATCTAATGTTCCATATCTTTCCAGGACAATCTCATAAGAAAGTAAGGCTTCGTTTGGGACAGCTTTCGTATTGATTTTTAAAATGGCTTTCTAGTACAAAAATTTCAAATTCAAAAAATTTTTGTACTAGAAATTGTTTTAAAAAGCAAGAAGAAAGCCGTCCCAAACAAAGCCTAAATCCGGGTACTTAAATTAAAAGCTTTGGAACATTTTCTCTACATAAGAAATAATATTGCTCACCCTTTACCTTCTATAACTAGATGACATTGACAATTTCAACATTAACTCACTTTTCAACATTTTGACCATTAAGAATCCTACCTGACAAGAAAGCAACAAAAATAATGTGTACCTTTGTTAGATAACCTCGTAATGCTTCATCCACGTTTGAACTGCCCAACACAAGATAGAATCCAGATTTATTATGAACCCATGGCATTAGAGAGGCCATCATAAATGCAAGAACCATCCTAATTCGAGCTTGAATATTCTGCAAAGCTAAATTTTCAGCATTTGATCCACCATCAACCTGAATTCAAGAAAATTTTCAAACATTATTACTCCAATATATAGTTCATAATAATTGCCGAATATCTATTATTGCATTCTAAACAACCGGGCTGGTACTGCACCAAATAAAAAAAAGGCAATTATGGAAAGCCAAAAACCTCAAAAGCCTATTATCATAACTGATAGAAAAAAGGAAGGCACATTAAAAAGAGATTATTTCAGCTCGATTAAAAACTAGAAATCTCCATTTCAATCAGCAAATTAAGAAGAACAAGACTAGGTAAGGATGAGTATTATGCAAATTATACATAACAATCTTAACCTAAAATGAATGTAATTGTCCATCACAACAACAACAACATCAAGCATTTATCCCACTATGGGGTCGGCTACATGAACTATTTTTCTCTATTGTGTCTTGTTAATTAAAAGATTCATGTCGTGATTATTCGTCAAGTTTTATGTAGGTGGTCGACTATCTAACGCAAACCTCCACTTTTCTCATCAAGGACTTGTGACCTGGCAACAACAATGTTTAAATGGTTGGGGCATGAACCAAAGAATAATATATAATATCTCCCTAAAAGTAAAAAAATATTATTAAAAGCGCAAGCTACCTCAAGCTGATATGGCCACCAGTACACAGGGTGCTAGAAACCAACCTAAATGCTTACCCAGGTGAGGTGCTATAAAAGAAATAATTGCTTCACTTAATAAATATATTTCAAAAATGAAGACTATGAAAAGAAAGGATATTATAAAGTTCCAAGAGAAGTGCTCATGATAGTTCTATAAAATAAATAAGTTAATAATAATTATATTCAAATCATTATGGATATGTATGTCGGAGTTGTTACTTGTTTTCAAACACAAGGTGATTTGACCAAGTATTTTCCTATTTTAATTGGATTGCATCAAGGACAATTTTAAGCCATATTTTTGTTTTAGTCATGGATGTTCTTACTAGACATTTGCAAGATGGTGTACCATGGTGTATACTTTTTGCTGATGATATTCTTCTTATTGATAAGACTAGAGAGATAGTTTATGAAAGACTTGAATTATGGATATCAATATTGAATCTAAAGGATTTTGGTTGATTAGAATTAAAACCAAATACATGAAGTATAATTTTAGTTGTAATAGATCTAGTGGTGGGATTGTGACCTTAGGATATCAAGCCATTAAAAAGAGTGCATGTCCTAGATATCTTAGGTCTATTGTTCAAAGCGATGATGAAATAGATTGGGATATTATTAGTAGAATTTAAGTTGGATGGTTGACATGGAGGAATGCATCGGGCATGTTATGTAATAGCCCAAACTCTTAATTATTGAGATATTATCCACTTTAGCCTAAGAGCCTCACAATTTTGTTCCATTGGTGTAACTTTCCCAGGAGGTCGCCCATCCCAGGATTTCTTTGGGATGAACACGTTTAACTACGAATTTTCTTAAAGAAATTCTGACCATTACACCAAAAGGCATCTTGATGTTTACACCAAAATGCGTCTTGATGTTTAAAATATTGAAAGAGAAGCATAAATTTAAGTTAAGTGTTGTAGAGATGAGGATGCTCAGGTGGATGAGTGGCTTTCCACTTAGAGACATAATGCAAAACAAGAAATATACATGAAAATGCTGGAGTAGCTCTAGTGGTGAATAATATTAGAGACAATCATTTTAAAATTAGATTTAAATGAGAGTTTGCCTCTTAATATAACACAATGTATAAAAAGGATTCATATAGCCAATCCCACGTGGTGGGATAAATGTTTCTTGTTGTTGTGGTCCTTGTGGAAACTTTGAAAAATATAAAATGATAATCAACAATTGAAATTATGTTATAAAAATAAATTTTTAGAACCTCTATTACACTTTAATTCCTAAAATCTTTCTAAATGGATTATCTTAAATAAAGTACTTGAATAAAATGTTTAATAACTTGAAAATTTTAAGTGCTTGAGTTTTTAGCATGCATAAACAGAGAAAATAAATTTCTAACCCCCATCACTAGGACACCACCCCCACCCCACACCACCTCACTGCAAAACCCACACACCTTCCCACCTTTTCACTGAGAGTCACAACTATTCACCCAAAATTTGGAGTCATTCAAGCTTAAAATTTGTTTAAGGTTTATGTAATCAAACTAGGATTTTTAATTCCCATAATTAGGTCTAACTAAATTTCTAATTAAAACAACTTAATATTAGTATGTGAAATTAATTGTACAAGTTTTGCAATTATTTAGTACAAATTTGGGTGATGTTTGGAATCCTTTAAAAAAATTAAAATAAAAAGGTTCGAAATATGCTTAACGGGTCAATTTTGATCCATTATTATTTCTCTTCCTCCTTGAAGTTGCACAAGTTGTTGGGTCAAGCAAACTCAAGCCCCTGTCGCTCAAGAAACTCTCAAATAACACATAATTTCGACTACTTTCTCACCCAAATGCAAAGCCTACCATAACACAACAAAAAATCACATATACAACAAAAAAAATCATAGTAGTCATATACTCCTTCCCCTAAGAATCACATGACTTATAACCATAGACACCACTAAAACTGTTCATTCCTCCCTAAAGTTTCACGCTAAATCAACAGCCCTCAACCTCATCGGTCTACATCTCTCGCAACTCTCCTCATCCATGAAACCAAGAAGACCAAAATTAAGAGAACACCAACAACCCATTTCCTGCATGTTATACTCCAAGTCCATGCAAGATCTCCATCTCCATTGCTAACCAAATACATTCACCTTCTCTATATATACGTTATTCTCTATCAAAAAACACCAATTGGAAGAAGCTCAACATAACTACAAGCGAAATTCATTTAGAGTCCCTCGATTTCATGATTGCAAATATAGAATCCCATATTCATGAATCACCTAGGGTAAATAAACACACACAATATATATATATATATATATATATTTCCTGAGGCTTTCAGGCAAATTCATTCATAGTAAATAGGCAATCACCTCATTGCCTAGCACCAAAAAGTCACATGCTAACGTAAGCAAAACATTTAATGGCGCTCACCTAAGAGGTGCATGAACCCCATTGGCCTAACCTTGTGCCACCTCACTCGAGTGATTAAGTGGTTGGTTAGATCACCTTTAACAACAGTAGTCGAAAGTGGGCTGGATCACCTTTAACAGCACTAGACACTAGACAAAAGTGGATGTAAATGTGTAGATGCCTGATATATAGGACATAACACAATGATTAGAGAAAATGACACATGAAAACAACAAACTATCAAAGGAAATCCAAATAATTAAAGTTCTAATTGTGCCTTTTACATCATCCATTGATAATGAAGGTTCGGATTGTGTAAAATCAACTTAAAAAAAATCAAATATGAAAGATCAGAGGCTTGGGGACGAGCAATCAGAATCAATGCCAAACGAGCTGAAAGGTATTTAAAAATAAAAAATTATCTTTATACAATAACCAAACAACACCTACCAATGGAAGGCCTTGCAGCAGTTGCAGATGCTAAAATGTCTAAAGGCCATAATTGCCACTTAATATGCAATCTTGTACACCAGCGCAGAATAAATTTCTGAATTTATAGAGAAGCAAATATATTGGGATACCAAATTGATACAGTTACCAGCGGTTTGGACCGACTATAACTGAGACAACAATATTAAGTTCAAAACTTACTAATCAATTATTCTAAAATGTAATAGTATTGCATGTAACCCTCTTACAACATCATACATATTTCTAATAATCACATGTAGTGCATGCTAAAATAGTATAAAGGTACAAAAAATGAAGTCCAGTATTATTTTGCATTTGATTACCTTGTAACGTGGTCTCCTCCCTGTTAATGTTTGAAACAAAGAGAGAAGAGCGAGAATAACAGTGTCTATATTTACATCAAGGTGCCAGGAACCTATTTCTTCAGCTAATTTCTTTGCTCTAGCCCTTGTAGCATCAGAGCTGAAAGGAATAAAGAAAAAAGTCATCAAAGACAACAAAATCAACAAAATGTGCTGATGTGCATAGTCAAAAAGAGAACAGATGTGAGTAATGATGCATGGACATGATATACCAAAGTTTATTAGAAGCAATACAATAATAGGATGAGAAACGAAAAATAGTATAGTTCATGAAAAGTCACAATGGGATTTTTTCCATGTTCTTGGACAGAATGAAAATAACATAAGGATTCATAAAGTCAACCACAAAATAGTTGGTGAAAGCTAAAGAAGGTGGTAACTTACATACAAGGAATAAATAATTTCTCTAAAGAAATCACACAAGTTTATTTTTTTATTAATTTTAAACCATCAGCTTCAAAATGGCAAATCTAGAACAACCATTTCTAGACCAACCATCAATTTTACTCATTGTATGCAATTAATAGTAATTTAAAATCAAAGTTCATTAATTATCACAATAATTAGGTTAGGAACTAGAGATACTGGCAAATAGCTCATATCGTGAAATATGATTTCCATTTGGAAATCCTGCAAAAAGTTACATATATATATATATATATATATATATATATTAAGTTACTCATGTACTAATAAAATACTAACTGAATAGATGATCAAGCATATATCTAGATGGCTAAGAAAACAACTGTGAACCCATGCTAGAGCACACATACAAACACCGACAGGAACACTTGATGCAATCATTCATAAACACATGCATTAGCAAATATTTGCATTATAACTTTACAGGAATTACAAAAATATAAGTTACAAAATAAATATATGATTTAACAATGTAGAACATATATATCTATATTTAAGGAAATTATTAGCTAATTTGAAACTTAAAAGCATCTAGGTCAGATGGCATATTGTAAAAGGAAATATTTTGTCACGTACCAATATAAGAGACTTTGCGAACATTAAAAATGGAAGATAACAAATAACCAGAAAAGAAAATGATGAGTTAAGAATGTTGAAAATATACAGATATCGAGATAAGCAATGCCATACCTATTTTCAGTTCCCATATAGACAGTATAGAATATTCTCTTTGCAAATTCCTTACTGCTGCTTGGAAACTCTCCATTTTTGTAATTGCCAACCCTAATTGCATCAGCTTTGACTTGTTCATCACCATTCTCTATATCTGCAAATATCCAAGGAGCATATTCAAATAGTCATAACAACTTGACATTAATAGTACCGCATAAAATATGATTTCCAACAGAGAGACTTGACTAAGGGCTAAGCTTGTCCAGATAGTATAACATTATATGTATTCTTACTTCACATTGCACAAAAGATGATCACATTCCACTAGACTGTCATATTTAGTCAGAACAATACTAGAAATCATTAGCTGGTCCAGGAAAAAAAGTTGATTCAATTATTTCTTCCCAAAAGCCTTTTCTCTGCTAACAGACTTGCCCAATAATAAAAGATAAAAGAGCTTCGGATCTTGCTAGTTCAAATTTTGATTCTCAAGTTGCTTGATCCCTTTTTCTAACTTAAGCAATAGAATTGATTTTCACCAAGTTAGCCTACTGATAAGTCATAATAGCCTAAGAAATTTAGCAAACTAACCCTTGATCACAAGCTGGCACATGCAACCTACAATAGCTGCAACTGAAGAACTATCAGCTCCTCCAGAAAGCGGAAGTAAATATCCAGAAGCTCCACTTCTTCTTAGATAATCCCATAGCCAACAACTAGGCCCAAATGCTATTTCCTCCTCAGCATGGTGATACTTAATCTGCAAACGAAACATCCAATGTATTAGTTATGCACGCCCATCAATAACTACATTAGCTAAAACAAAAGAATACTTCTATGCAACATAAAGTTACTGGTATTCACATCAGTATGACATGAAAGTAGCAAATTAGTACTTTGATGGCTTTACAAATTATTGTCAACATCTATTCAGTATATTATTCTACGAAGCAAAGACTTCCTTACAGGGGAATTTAATAATGCTCGTGTTGACCTCTTTTTTTTTGACCCGACCACACTCCATGGGTCCACATAGGCTAGGTTGACCGAGTCAAACTTTGACTGGTCAACCCAAGCCTTAATGAGTCAAAATTGACCCATTAGGCCCATTAAGAGCCTAAATTGATTTTAAAATTAAATCCAATTCTTGCATGGCTCAATCCTTGGACTCCCTTGACTCTCTTGACTGATTTGACTAAGTCAATCGTTGACTTGGTCAAACCAAGTCTTAAATAGGTGAAAATCACCTATTTAAAGTAAAATTAAGCCGCATTTAATGTCCTAATCAATTCCAAACGTTTTGAAAAATCAAATCCCGCCTAAATCACTCCCTCTCTCTCTCTGAATTCGACCCTTGATCTCATCTCCACCGTCCAAGAGAGGAGAGGGGCTTTAAATAGTGAAATTTAGGTTTTTTTGGGACTTTTTGCTCTTGCTTGATCTCGAGAACACCTCAGGCCTTAAGATTTGGTGAGAGCACTCCTGCAACCTTCCTCCACGTTTTTCCAACACAACCCCGACCTCCTCGAGTCGCCGGCGGCGAGAACTCCGGCGAAACCGAAGCCAAGAAGCTTTCGGGGCTTCTACCGCTCAATCCAAGGAAAACCAGGGTTCGACGTCAACTAGAGAAATACTCCTGCCGCTTCAACGAATCCAAGAATGGGAAAATCGGACAGTTAGATCTCTCAAAATCCCTTAAAATAGATCACAATGCTTAGGGTTAAATAGCTTTTTGAAAAACACTTTATAAGTTGATCCAAACGTCCCCCAAGATTTCTGTTCACTCCTAGATTATATGCTTAAAATTTCGTGAAGTTTCGTTGAGAATCGAGTGAGAACGAAGCGAAAAATTCCTTTAGGGTTTCGGTCCGGTCTCATGCGTGTGAAGATCGGATCTGGGACCGTTGAATCCGCGATCAACTGTCCCGATCGCGTTGTATAAGCCCTCGGATCTGCACGTGTTTGCTCGGTTGCTGGATTGAGCCGTCCGGCTCGATCAGAGCCGTCCGTTCAGGATGGTGGGAGATCGGATGGTGCGTATGCCGTCCTATATGGATAAGTGGATGCAGCATGATTGCCACATGATTGCGGCAATCATTGCCTAACGGCGCAATCATTGCGCCGCAAGCAATGATTGGCCGCGGTTTGACCCGTCAATCATGCAGCGCCAAGTGTCGATCTGAGATTATTTTTGGCTTTTATATTTATTTTAATTGATTTTAAACCCATTTTCACTAAAATAATTGTAGAAATTCATTTCTCGTCCGTTTTTCGAGCACAATATATCGAATTGTTTGGAATTGAATTTCCTTTAATTTAAAATTAAAATTACATTAAAATATTATGTATATTTTATGTTATTTCAAAAACGATCATATTTGAATTCTGCACGATTTGGGGTCATATTTGTTTCAAAATATTAGGTATACCTGCATTTATTTTGAAAACATCAAAAGAGCTATTTTAAAAATATTTTATTATCGTATTTAAACTTCGAAAATGCACAACTTTCTCGTTTTAAATCCGTTTTCGATGCACAGCACCTTATTTTGTTCGTATTTGAATTATGTACGATTTGAGACCATTTTTGTTTAAAAATGATATGTATATCTGCAGTTATTTTAAAAACAGTAAAAAAACACTATTTTAAAAATATTATATTATTGTATTTAAACTTGTAAAATTCATAACTCCGTCGTTTTAAATCGAATTTCTACGTGCGACCCCTTGAACTTTTCAGAAAAATGAGTTTTACATTTTAAGATTATTTTCAATCACTGATTTTCACTATTTTGTCAAATTTCTGTCTTGGAGTATTCTTTGCCTATTTAATTATTATTTCCTTCATTAGTATAATAATTATTTTCAAGATACAAACTATTTTCAAATCGTTTTGAGGCCTAGATTGGATGACCGGTGGACCTTCTCTATTCTCATATATACTATGAATCAATCTATCTTTCAAATACGCTATTTTTACAAAATCTATATATAGATATATATTAATAGGTATTTTAAATTACTTATAATTAAACCATAACTTTGGGAGATCCACCTAGCATGAGATTTTAGACATAGCTTCTATGCATGAAGAGCAATCATGGGGGAGTGGATTAGTGGATGGTTGGGTTTCAATCAATCACTAATCAGTTCGTTACTCGTACTTACTTTTCGTTCGTCCTAGATTGCATGTGTAGGTCGTACCACGAGCACTTAACTTAGGCTCTCCTAGATTTAAGGACATGGTGTGTTTACTGCTTTTATATATTTCTCATGCATTATTACCTTGAGGGTTAGTGTAAAACTCTATTTAAACCCATATGACGTAGTGACACCATAAGAACAAAAATTAAGAACCCGTCTAGCGAACTTAGAAATTTTCTAGGGCTTAGGGTAGATCACTGATTGACATGAAAACCACAACACTTAAACTTAGTGACATCATAAACCTCCCAGAATTTTTTAGGAATTTTTAGGAGTTTTTAGACCCCTTAATTAACCAACCCTAATTAACCTGCTAAATAAGGCCCCGAGACCTTCCGAAAATTACAATAAATACATTTTAGGTCAGAAAATTACCCATAATATCTTGAACTGACCAGAATCTGATCCTCAACCTGAAGTCAAACTAGGGAGCCCTATTTATCTAAAGTCAAGGATCATATTCTTGTCAGTTCAAGATATTATAAGTAATTTTATGACCTAAAATGTATTTATTGTAATTTTTGAAAGATTTCGGGGCTTTATTTAGCAGGTTAATTAGGGTTGGTTAATTAAGGGGTCTAAAGACTCCTAAAAATTTCTAGAAAATTCTTGGAGGTTTATGATGTCACAAAGTTTAAGTGTTGAGGTTTCATGTCAATCAGTGATCTATCCTAAATCTTAGAAAATTTCTAAGTTCGCTAGACGGGTTCTTAATTTTTGTCCTTAGAGTGTCACTACGTCATATGAGTTTAAATAGAGTTTTACACTAACCCTCAAGGTAATAATGCATGGGAAACATATAAAAGCAGTAAACACACCATGTCCTTAAATCTAGGAGAGCCTAAGTTAAGTGCTCGTGGTACGACCTACACATGCAATCTAGGACGAACGAAAAGTAAGTACGAGTAACGAACTGATTAGTGATTGATTGAAACCCAACCATCCACTAATCCACTCCCCCATGATTGCTCTTCATGCATAGAAGCTATGTCTAAAATCTCATGCTAGGTGGATCTCCCAAAGTTATGGTTTAATTATAAGTAATTTAAAATACCTATTAATATATATCTATATATAGATTTTGTAAAAATAGCGTATTTGAAAGATAGATTTATTCATAGTATATATGAGTATAGAGAAGATCCACTGGTCATCCAATCGAGGCCTCAAAATGATTTGAAAATAATTTGTATCTTGAAAATAATTATTATACTAATGAAGGAAATAATAATTAAATAGGCAAAGAATACTCCAAGACAGAAATGTGTCAAAATAGTGAAAATCAGTGATTGAAAATAATCTTAAAATGTAAAACTCATTTTTCTGAAAAGTTCAAGAGGTCGCACATAGAGATCCGATTTAAAACGACGGTGTTATGAATTTTACAAGTTTAAATACAATAATATAATATTTTTAAAACAGTGTCCTTTTACTGTTTTCAAAATAACTGCAGATATATCTATCATTTTTAAACAAGAATGGTCTCAAATCGTACAAATTCAAATACGAACAAAATAAGGTGTTGTGCATCGAAAACGAATTTAAAACGAGAAAGTTGTGCATTTTCGAAGTTTAAATACGATAATAGAATATTTTTAAAATAGTGCTCTTTTGTTGTATTCAAAATACTGCAGATATACCATATATATAATTATTATAAATAATTATAAAAAAAACTAATATAATAATTATTATTATTAAAATACAATTTAAATATATAATAATAAAAATATATTTTTACTATTTCTGAAATAACATAAAATATACATAATATTTTAAAGTAATTTTAATTTTAAATTAAAGGAAATTCAATTCTGAATAATTCGATATATTGTGCGCGAAAAACGGATGAGAAATGAATTTTCTACAATTATTTGAGTGAAAATGAGTTTAAAATCAATTAAAATAAATATAAAAGCCCAAAATAACCTCAGATCGACACTTGGCGCAGCAGGATTGGCGGGTCAAACCGCGGCCAATCATTGCTGGCGACGCAATGATTGCGCCGTCAGGCAATGATTGCCGCATGATTGCGGCAATCATGTCGCATCCACTTATCCACGTAGGACGGCCTCCGCACCGTCCGATCTCCCGCCATCCTGAACGGACGGCTCTAATCGATCCGGACGGCTCAATCCAGCAACCGAGCAAACACGGGCAGATCCGAGGGCTTATACAACGTGATCGGGACCGTTGATCGCGGATTCAATGGTCCCAGATTCGATCTTCACACGCATGAGACCGGACCGAAACCCTAAAGGGGTTTTTCGCTTCGTTCTCACTCGATTCTCAACGAAACTTCGCAAAATTTTAAACATATAATCTATGAGTGAACAGAAATCTTGGGGGATGTTTGGATCAACTTATAAAGTGCTTTTCAAAAAGTTATTTAACCCTAAACATTATGATTTATTCTAAGAGATTTTGAGAGATCTAACAGTCCGATTTTCGCGTTCTTGGGCTCGTTGGATTCGTTGAAGCGGCAGGAGTATTTCTCTAGTTGACGTCGAACCTTGGTTTTCCTTGGATCGAGCGGTAGAAGCCCCGAAATCTTCTTGGCTTCGGTTCGCCGGAGTTCTCGCCACCGGCGACTCGAGAAGGTCGGGGTTATGTTAGAAAAACGTGGAGGAAGGTTGCAGGAGTGCTCTCACCAAATCTTAAGGCCTGAGGTGGTCTCGACATCAAGCAAGAGCAAAAAGTCCCCAAAAAGACCTAAATTTCACTATTTAAAGCCCCTCTCCTCTCTTGGACGGTGGAGATGAGATCAAGGGTCGAATTCAGAGAGAGAGTGAGTGATTTAGACGGGATTTAATTTTTCAAAACGTTTGGAATTGATTAGGACATTAAATGGGGCTTAATTTTCCTTTAAATAGGTGATTTTCACCTATTTAATACTTGGTTTGACCAAGTCAACGATTAACTTGGTCAAATCAGTCAAGAGAGTCAAGGGAGTCCAAGGATTGAGCCATGCAAGGATTGGATTTGATTTTAAAATCAATTTAGGCTCTTAATGGGCCTAATGGGTCAATTTTGACTCATTAAGGCTTAGATTGACCAGTCAAAGTTTGACTCGGTCAACCTAGCTTATATGGACCCATGGAGTGTGGTCGGGTCAAAAAAAAAGAGGTCAACAGCTTGGTAAAACAAATTACTGTTTTTTAAAACATAAATTTCTAGATTTAACCTCAAATTACTGTTTTTTATGCAAATATCTGTAGCCATCATGTACTTGTGGTTACTTTATCATGGACAAGATTCTTTGTTAGCTTTGCAAAAATCATAACAACAATAAAATCAAGGACTTACAAAAGAAAAATGGAAAAAAGGGCATCCAAACCTAAAAAATGATTCTTAAAAAGAATGTTAACCGCTTGGTTCCTAGTCTCTAATTAAACCACCTTTCTTAGCATTTAATGTGCATACACCAAAAAAAGGTAGAATGTTTGTGTGCGCTATTTCCTTTGATTCTTATTTTGAGCACCACTTTTACTAGATTTAAGATAAAGTAGAAGGATTCATATTTCTATGCCCCTTAAGAAAGTCTCCTAAGGACCAAAAAATTTCCAAATTGAAGTACTCCTTATATTGATAACAGCATCGTTTAAAAGATTTCTTTAAAGTGTCTGCAATTACCTTGTGAGAAAAATAATATCAATTTACATGATTGATTATTTTTAATAAAACAGCAGTAAGTCTAAGAAAATAATTACAAAAATGCAAGGTGATCAAGTATGAGTACGATGATTTAGCACTGTAGTTCAAATTTGGGTGAGGATAAGTTCACCCTGAGTTGGATGTCCATGTTTTGAATAATTTGAAGTTTCTAAAAGAAAGCAACATGATTATAAGAGATTAAGGCTTCATTTGGGACGATTTTTTTACTGCTTCTTAAAGTAAATTTTTAGTTCAAAAGTTTTAATTTTTAAAATAGAAAGCTACTTTAAGAAGCAGTAAAAAAGCAGTCCCAAACAAAGCCTAAATGTCTAATCCATTTTTGCTCTCATCTCAACAATACAACACATTATACATTCTTTCCACTACAACCCTGTACCAGTATGTCATCTGGTGACTGTAAAAGATGTACCCGATGGTATATCATAGAAGCAAACAAGTACATTGTAAACCAAAAAAAAATAACAGCTAAATTCACTTATTTGGCACTTGGCAGAAAATGAAAATTAACAATTAGCACCAATATGCTGCATCTCAATTTAGAACAAATGCACAATCAGCAAATTACAGATAGCAAGTACTCAACAGTAAAAACACAATTAAAATAATGGTCGAGGCTGCCCAAGTTTCAAAAAGTTGCGTTGTACACAGGAGAAATATATCCTAAAATGTTTTGATAATTGAAGTGATTCAATGAAATATATAAAGAATAAAGCACAAACCTCCACAGGATTAGTAGGAAAAATACTAAGTTCAAATGACCGGCAAAGTCTGCGTGGTATTTTCACTACTGGAACCTTCGATTCACGACTTGCAGATTCTCTGAAACTACTTACAGATGCACGGTAACTCGAGACCTGCAAAAATTGAGGTTACTGAACACTGAAAAAGTAGATCAAATAATTAGCAGTGGATCCTAAATTAAAAAATCATAGTTGCAACTGAAGATCATAGAATATGTGATGCCAAATTGTTATTGAGGAAGCCTAATTTAAAGATTGGTTTGCACGTTATAAGAAACATATATATCTACAAAGATATTTGATTTTAACCTTAAAACCTTCAATATATTTTACAAAGAAAATTTATTATAAAAATGCAAACTCTCAAGTTCACCACTCATATAGTAGTTCGCAAAATTAATACTTCAAAACGATACTCTATTAACAAGTATGCAGAGTTAATAAGGTTCAAATAATAAAATAAAATATTATAACAGCCAGACGATGGCCGCTTTGACTGAAAATATCAGCCGAAGGGGATTAAATTTTTCAAAACACTCCCAAATCCCAATGAAGATCATTTTGGAGCCACAATCATATTAAAATACTAAATCTTAAAATTTTATTAAGATTCAAATATTCAAGTAAAAATTATTATTATAAACTTAAAGCAAAAAATCCATCCAACATTCACAATTGTTTGTTGAGAGTGATAAATTTGAGAATAACATTAACTCATAAAGAGCCTACCACCAAAAGAGGGGGCAAATCACAAATTCATGGTTGGTCAATCCAATACCGAAATAATAAAAATAAAGCAAAAAAAAATCCAAAAGATGTATATTATGGCAGAGATGCGGCACATAGAGAACATCCAATTGGATTTATAGAACTTGAAATTGATGACATAACAAAAGTATGCAGCCAGACTGTTGATTGTTTTTTGGTTTTGTGATGGAAATAAAGTTTCAACCAGCCAAATGCTTGAAATGAATATGCAGAAATAAAAAAACAGTAAACAGAGGCGGAAATGCATTTTTTATGGAAAATTCACCTTTAGTTCCACCAACCGGTTTAAGTCTACTCAAATTGTCTTTACTATTCTTGCTGGTAAAAATTTTTGTAGAAGCTTGCGGGACATAACTAATAATCACAAATTAGGAAAGATAAAAGAAAAATATTTACTCACTGCATCAAGATCCACAACGGCGGTCAGAACTTCAACTTCCCTCAAGGAAAATTGAGATCCTTGAGAAACAACATCCCCATTCACAGCAATGAAACAACATCCATCTGCCATACATATTTGTCAGCTACTGTAAACAAATTTCATATGTTTAATTAATTGACATTTACACCAAAATACTAGGTTTAGTGGATTCAAACATAACACAGTCATTCACAGGAAGATTAGCCATGCAAGTAGAAAAATTAATGAGACCCCGCTTTGATAATTTAGAGGTAAAAAGTGCATACAGTTCAAATTCAAGTTAATAAAGTGTAAATGGCATGAGTTAACAATATGAACTACGTATTTTATGCAGCTACCTATTTGATTAATAGAAAACGTGCACAACCAAATATTATTCACATCATTAAGTATCTTGCACAAACCAAGAAGACATTTATAGAAATAACAAAACTACCATTGTGATCCAGCACCAAGGAAATATAATGTGCATACATACTACCTATAGAATCTCTTCCATCATTCTTTTAGAATCTGAATGTTGAATAAGCATGGTTTGACCATTCAAAGAACATTTAAAAATATGAACGGGAAGCTCTAGTGCTCTATCAGCTGCAATAACTCTTACAAATCACTAAAGTTTAGATATTACAAGCTTAATGAAATAGCAGAACTAGTAAACAAGCAGCAGAGGTTTACAGTTTGATGTATACATTCAAAATTGGAAGAAAAAAAAAATGATGTACCATAATAGAGACGACCACCATCACAGCCTTGGTGATTGCTATACATGTAAACACCTCCGCAGCGCGTAGTTGCACTTTTAACTGCATCAATACGAACATTGAGTTTTCGTAACTGGTGGTGACTTCCACTTGCGTTCATAAAAACCTCAACACCATTATATGCAAGTCCAACATGTGGTGCACTAGCAGTAAAAAGCTCTTCACAGGTTTCAGCAGCAATAGCTCTGAAAATAGGAATAAAACAATTAGAGAAGACTTGTTGCACAAGTTTCCCAAGCTGACAATCCAACCTCTAATAGTCAATTTTAGTCGGCAAAGAAGTCAGGCATATTAGAACCAAAAACTGATATCTTTATCATCAGAAAGACAATAATGATTACTGGTTGAAGAGCATAGTTCCATAGGTAGACTAAGTTCAAGAAACATTAAATCCAAATGATGAGACAAGAATAAGCTTGAAAATCAAAATCTAAGAATCATTACGCATCAGTCTGAAGTATATGGCTTTAAATTACTTGGATGGCCTGAAATTGCATAGAAGCAGTTTGGCTTTATCCATGCACTAAGCAAAACATTTTGCAGACATTTTAACAAGAAAGCTCTACAAGGCTTCAACATACAAGAATGAATGGAATCTAAGAATCCTTTTTTTTATTTTTTGCCTCAAATTTTCATTGAAAATGACTTCTATAAATTCTCTTTTATTTTAATAATGCCGGAATCATCACTCCCAATGAGTACAACGACATCAAAATATATAGAAAGAACCATTGTGCAAGAGGAAAAATGTCAAATAAAGTTATAGTGAACAATCAACTTCGCAGTCTAATATCAGCAATATCTTTGTAAAGTTGACCAAACACTCAAATCAAGTATGAAGATCTTATTTAAACAATATGTAGATTTATGGCAATCGAATATTATGCTCTCCATCTATGCAACATAACTAAAGGTTGCTCCATATAAATAGCTTTAATATAAAGAATAGAGGAACCAAGCAATAGAATAAGAAAATTAAAAAAAAAAATGGCACATTGCACGCACTTGGTGTATAAGCATTCTTAGTAATTGCACTTATGGCTACAAAATTTGGCATCATGGAAATAATTATAATTTTATTGAATGATAAAAATTGATTTGGCGTTACTAGAAAGCAACCAGTTGTTCCTTTAATGCATAAATAAGAGAAAGTAACTATGCCTAACTCACATAATCTACTGCCTAAATGTAAGATACAATAGCAACAGCATAAATTCTTGTAATAGAGAAAACAATATTATAGTAAATGGCCAAAGGTGCTTACGTGTCTTGAAATTGAATATAACCAAATCCAAAAGGTACTGAAACCTGTGATATGGCTTCAGATATATGACTTGGAAGTTGAAAATCAACAAGCCTGTCTTTAAATTTCCAAGCTAAGAACCAGCGTAGCTCTCTATAATTTCCATCATTGGCAAGGCAAACCTTTGGACGTATCATTATAATTTTTCGATCCAAGCAAAAGACCTGGCAATTGTATCGCACACTTTCATGTATAATGGGCATGCCAATACTACATAATATGCTGTCAGTCCAATCACCAGATAATAGATCTTCCAAACATTCCCACCTGCACATAAATATGAATCAACTGTGTGAAAAATAAAAAATAAATAACAATACATCGCATTCGAAATGAGTCTACCTTTTTTTAAAATTTATGGAATAATTTATAAGTTATTATTCAATCAATATTGAACAAACCAAGCATAATAGTTCTAAGTCCCAGCAGCACTATACAAACTATATCCGTGATAAATAAAGTTGTAACAATTGTAATAAAAGCTAGAAAAATAGAAAGAAAGGGGATTAACCACACAATATTTACATATCTAACACCAAAATGTTAATATTTAGTTATATAACACTTTAATGCCTTAATTACATCAAACCATATAAATGAAAAGGTATATTTTATTTTTAAAATATTAATATTAGCAGTATTTTTACATGATTTAAAAATTTAGATCTTATATATATTTTTTGTGGTGTGAATGCAAATCCACAAAAGAATCCATTGAGATACCTTATGATAAAATAAGTTCATAACAAATAAAGCTGAAATTATATTAATAGTAACAAGAGCCCTATGTTATATGGATGCATGTGGAAGAGGACACAAAGGGAGCAGAGCAGAATATCTAGCGTTGCAAAATAGAGAACTTTAAAACATATGTATTAAAACTAGAACTAATGAGGTTTAGCATGAATATATCGAGAAAGTGCAAGTTAAACATCTAGAAAGGATAGGACAGTAGGTTATGATAGGAGTCGGCATCAAAAAGGTGGTGAATTTAGAAGAAAACAGTTTAGTAAGTGTTTCAACAGGTTTAGCTAAATCAAATTTATCAACAAATGCAGCCTTGAATATAAACTAGCAAGGATATATGACTAGAAAAGAATTCAACAGTACAACTAATGTTAGTGACGAGGCAACAATGCAGATTTCAGCAAAAGGAATCATGGACAAAAGTTTGGTCAGAGAACATGATTGCGATTTAAATATTTATTGTAGAATGCTTCAAGCTGAAAAATCTAGTTTAAATGCATTTATGAAAAATTAGACTTGTAGATATTTTACGGTCAATAAGAAGAAATAGTATCAAGGCAAAGATATGGAAAGATATTTAAGATTTAATGAACTCCAACTAAGGAGGTAAACAAGTTGTCCTTGAGTGAGGTGTTGTCCTACAGCTTAGTTCGTTAAGCAAATGAATCAAAATTTTTACTAGTGTTTGGCTTGCTCATTCATATATTTACTTATAGAGCCAAACACGAGCTATTCTCAAACATGAAAATACTTGAAAGACATTAATTAAAGAATATAAATGGCAGCATGCATATATACATTAATCCATAGTTTACATAATGTATACATTTAGATGCATGAATATACACACAAACATATATGCACTTATACAAACATAATTGAACTATTATTGAGTCAAACATGAAAAAACAAGGTCATGTTTATGTTTGGCTCAATAAATAAACGAGCTTTAAAAACTAGTCAAATTTGAACTAATCATAAGATGAACAAAATCAAATAAAAACAAGCTTTTTTGGCATTCCTAAAACTAAAACAAATATTTGCACAACACAACGCAACTTTAGGAGCCCACGCATTGTCCTTAATTTGGCCGCAATAACAAAGAATGCAATATCCAGTTCGAGTGAAAGTTTATGTACCAAATATCGATTATTAGTTTTGAACTTTAAGATGAATGAGAAGAATATGATGAATAAAATAAAATGCTATTCTAGAATTAGATGGGGTATTTAAAGAACACTAAAAAAAATATTTTTGAGAGTAAGATTTGAAATCTTAAGTTTTTGTCTATGCATGAGAAACCTAATGTTATGTGACAAAAAGTAGCTAGTGATATTAAGAATATTGCAAAGGATGTACTTGAAGTATCAAAAGGAAAAAGCTCTTAATAGTAAAATAGTTGGTGGTGGAATCAAAATGTACAAAAGAAGATCAAAAATAAGAAGCTTTGTTATAAAAATTAGTTTAGATGTAAAAATTCTGAAAATTGATAAAGATATAAAGAGACCCATAAGGAGTACTAAAAAATAATATGCAATGCAATGATTTTAGCTTTTAATGATATATATAATTTATTAGATACTAAGGGGGGTGAAAGATATATGCATAAGTTAGTAAAACAAAGAGATAATCGTAGTTAAGGATTTGGTTCAAGTGAAGTGCATTAAGGATGATGTTAGCCCAGTTCAACTTGAACCGGCCCAGCTCCAACAGGCCCCTTATAATGGGTCGATTCAGGATTACAAAAGGAGGGGTGGCAGCAAGAGAGAGAAAGGAGGTGGGGACCACTAGAGATTTAAATTCAAATGTTTGGAGCCAAAGGAGGGGGCGGCAAGGGCTAATCTACCTTTTGGCTTTAAGGATTAATCGCATGCTTTAAGTATGACGGAGGAATTAGGGTTAGGGTTACGCATTGTTTTGGTGGCTGATTTCTAGAGTTCTTGTTTTGCTGTCTTGGGCCCTAAATTCGTCTAGGAATTAGGAGAGAACGATCCTCCTCTCGAATAGAGGGTCAATTGCATCTTGCTTATTTGTTTCTATTATTTGATTTCCACCATAAAAAAACTATTGATTTGTTGTTTTTCCATTAGATTCATGAAGTTTCTCGCTATTTTCATCAATCTTGTTAGGGTTTACTTAAAATATTCAAGTATTTCCTATCAAATTGGTATCAGAGCAAATTTGGGGACCATTTTGGGTTGTTTTTTTTAAAATTTCACCTGTGATTTTTTTTTTTCTGGAGGAAGGGTTTCTTGTTGATTTTTTGGATAAAAATTCAAAAATTTTGATGGCGACCAAGAAGGTAGATGCATTGGAGGAACGCCTTGAAGGGGAGATGAGCCAAATAAAAGCCACGATTGAAGATCGAATCTCATACATAGAAGGCAAGGTTTCATCCATGGAAGAAAAAGTTTTCGATATTCATGCAATGATGAAGAAGCTATTGGAAAATCAAATTCAAATGGCAGCATCAGAGGCAAAAGGACCGATGGGGAAAATGATAAATTTTGAGTTTTGTAGGAAGGACAATAAGATGAAAATCAAGGAGGAAAGAGGTGGAAGGTATGGAGGGAGGAATGGTTAGGGGGGGCATGAATCAAGGGGTGTTGGTTGGGAGAGAAAAGAAGGGGAATACATGAGAAGAGGTGCTGATTTTGAGGAAAAGAGAGGGGAAAGAGAAGAGGGGTTTGTATATGAACATAGGAGGGAAGATTGTGAGACCCTTTTTTTTTGGGGGGGGAGGGCAGACATTAAGAATGGTGCATGTGAAAAAATATTTTCTGAAGGGTTGCGTCCCTTGAGGTTATTTTACTTTGATGTGTCAGACATTGAGAATGGTGCAAGTGAAAAAAGAAGCAAGGAGAGCGTGAGAAAGAAGAGATATCTATACTTATTTCTCCCAATTTTCATAGTGGATTTCTTGGTGTAGTGTGGCTCCATGATTTTTTCCCTATTTTAGGTTTTTACACGTTAAATCCTGGTGTCCTTTATTTTTTCGCTATTTTTACTTTTTTGCTTGTTTCTTCGTTGTGGTGTTTAGTCCTACTCATCCCCAAAATATTATATTTTAAAACTTTGTACAAGTTCATTCAATATAAGCGAGCATTCTATGAACAAGTATCGAGTTGTTCATCAAGTGCACTTTTCAATTTTAACCCTAGTGTTTGCTGATGCGAAGGTTGGCGGTCAAGTTTTAGATTCATGCATTTTCCAAGATTCTTTTCACAAAATTCATATTTTTTGTGTGTTCAGGTTCTGGATGTTATTATGTGCGGGATGGGCAGTGTTTTGGACATAAATGCGCCAATTCAGTGGCTTTAGTTTCATATTTTCAAGCTTTCAAGATATTTTTAGGTTTTAATTGCGGTTAATTGGGAAAATTGGTTTAAGAATTTAAATTTTAATTTTCAGTTGATCAGAATTTAAATTGATATTAATATAGTAACAATCTTATGTACTAGTAGGTAATGAAGAGTCTATAATTAAATAGTTATTTAAGACATTTAAATCAAAACTTATGGCTTTAATAAAAGTTCTCTTTTAATTTTTTAATCATGTGAGTGCAACTTGGTGAGTGATTTCTTTGAACGTACTTCAATTGCAACAACATAATTTTGAGAGAAATCATCTCCTTATAGAGGCGTGAATCTTGATTTTTCTCCACTATGGTCAATTCATTTGTTATATATTTATTCTGCATTATTTGTTATTGACTAGTTTAAAGCCATTGATTTTGGACAAAAATTGACACATCATAAATCAAATTTTGTGCAAATTAATTAGCTTTCCTGTTGATTTTATTTGCTTCCTAATTCTTGCTAAAATTATCATATTTGCAATTATCTCATTACTAATTGTGTGTAAAAAATATTGTTGCTTTCTTTTAATAACAGAGAGTAAGTGTTTGCTTGACTGGTAAGTGGTAACTAGTAATCTATGAATCCTCGTTTTTTTTCATGAAAGCATGTTAAACATCATATTAATTATATAAAGAAAACCAAACCCTGAGTCATCTTCCATCGGGCAATGGATTATAAAATAAAAAATAAAAGTAAACCATTCATATGATAAGAAAACAATAGAATTTCTGGCACTTCAATACCCAAACAAAACATTGATCATAATCACTTTTCTCTAACTAGATAGCTATGACATTTCAGAAGCGGAACATTCTTATTATAAATTCCCAAAAAAAAAAAACATTCTTATTATAAGAGGAAAAAAGGTTAAGCTAAATAAGTTAAGAAATATTCATATAAATTAGAATAAACTCACGCATGGGTTACAGTATCTTGCTCCAAAAAATGATCTTCACAGCCATATCCAGTAATCTCAAGCTCTGGTCCAATTCTAATTACAGCCCCCGCTTGTTTAGCATTTAAAATTGACGCCTTAATGTTCCGGAGGTTGTTATCAAAATCCATAGCCCATTGATTTAGATTGCAAGTGGAAAGAGTTAACAGCCTCATCTTTAACTTTAACTGCACAAACATAAAAATATAAGATAAATGAATTATGGACTTCGTAACAATAACAAATAATATTTATATAATCAACAGATGCAATTAGTTTGTTATATAATCCAATGTTTACATCAAAAAAACTGTGAATACCTAGGCATCGTTTTTTAAAAGCAAATATAAAGGAGATGCAGTAATGATACCTAGGTTGTACAAAAAGGAGGGGCAAAAGAAGAATAAAAAATGGAAAACGAAGGAAAGGAAAACACTTATCACTGCTGATTACAAAAAACGCCTGTGTCTACAATATTGGGGCGAGCACTAGAATTCAGGAAAACGAGCCTAACTTGAGAAAAAACTTAGAAAAATCAAGAAAATAATCAAATATCTACAGCTAGAAAACAGATTAAAAAAAACATAGAAAGAAGATTAAAAAAAAGAGCGTAAAATAAATTGTTCAAAAAAACTTCCTTTCGTTACACTTTCGATTAAGAAATTAAGCCATGACACCCTCCCTAATTCCTAAATCTATCCAACTCGATTGAGATCAATTTGATTTATATAAACTGGTAAACCTTTTATACCCTTAGCCTCATCCTCGACTTAGTCTCTTAATCTTGGAATCTCTCACTGCTTAAGATTAACTAAGTCCTAGAGAGCAAAAGAGGGAAGAGATAGAAAGTAAAAAGAAGTTCAACTTTAATTAGCAATAATCTATACAACAACAACAACAACAAGGTATTGTCCCACTACGTGGAGTCTACTACATGAATCATTTTTCTTCATTGTGTCCTGTTAAAAGTCAATAAGCAATAATCTATAAATCAACTAATTCCAGTAAAGTTAAAATTTCTATGAAGCTCATTTTAAGAATCAATGCAATCCAAATAACAAGAGATTTTTACATGGTAACATTAGGCAAAACTAAAGCGCACAAGAAGAACAAAACTGGTTCTTGGCATCTAAATCATATAGCGCTTCAAGTGCATACTTCAGTTATTCAAACTGTTTTACAATAGAGTTACTGTATGTTTTAACCATCTATGATTAACTTGAGTTTTTTTTTTTTCTTTACCACTGCATTATCCAGAGTTCTTAAAAGCATAAACAGAAAAATAAAAGGTTGTCCCAAATGAAGGCTTACTATGTATATGAGTAAAGTTTATTGCTACCATTCATATATTTGGGAGTGCTCGTAAAATTGCCGTTTATTTTTGTTCGACTATACAAATAGACGAGTTATAATATCGTATATAAACAAACAAGCAAAGAACATTAAGTCTTTATCCTACTATTTGGGGCTGACTATACTATACATTTTTCTTCATTATATTCTATTAGGAGTCAAATTCTCAATTAAATTTAATAAAAAAATATTATTTCTAATATTTCTTATCATGTCTTTTTAGATCTATCTCTACATTTCTTAACATAGATAGGTTAGATCTAATCAGTGGCGAAGCTAGGAATTTTTAAGGGGGACCCAACTTTAACTTTGCTTCAGCTGATTTTTATATTCAAATTCAATTTATCACTTAATTGTTTATATGTATTGTGAAAAATCAATATGCTATATAAAGATATGTTTGCAATTTTCATTCTTTTTTTTTTTTTTTTGGAAATCGCTCGCGAGAAGAGCCTGACGTAGGTTTTTCTACATTTCGAAGGGCAGCACCCTCCTCTCTCTCTCTCTCTCTCTCTCTCTCATGATCTAATGCACCTGCACTCCTAACCAAATCTTCAAAAGGTCTACGTTTTATGTAACCAAATCATCTAAAAAGACAATCTCTAATCTTATTCATCACTGGAGCTAATCCAACCTTTTCTCGTGCATGCTTGCTTCGCACTATGTCTAAGATCGTATCTATGCTAATAAATTTTATTTTCATTTTCATAATGATTCCTTCATTAAGATTCATATAAAATTTCACTTGCATCTCTACAATCTCTCATTTCTTTCTAAAATTCTTCTTCTTTTTTTGTTTAATCTAATAAAAAAGTAATTATTATTCTTACCAAACCTGCAGATATTAACCATGATTAAAATTGTAAACAGCTCAGGTTTCATTTGGGACCGTTTTCTTACTGCTTATTAAAGCAGCTTTACAGTATAAAAGTTTTAACTTTTGTGCTAAAAAACTGTTTTAAGAAGCACTAAAAATGCCATTGTTGAGACTTGATGTAAAAACTCTTCTATTACCTGAAGCAAAAAAGAATGAGGATCAAAAGAGGAAGGAAGCCATTGTTGATCTGTGAGCCGTTAGTCGAACAGAAAATAAACTATTAATAGTTGTGAAAGAAATGATCTGGCAATTCATTGATGAAGAGAACCAAAAGAATACTGCCTAATATAGAATTTTGACTGCTAAAAATAGGTATTGTTCATCAAACAGACAATTGGCTAAGAAATTATTTACTTAAAATATTTGTTGATGAGATTTAGACCGGTAGTTTTTGGTTGCCTTGTCTATAAATAGGATGGTGGCTTATAATATAGCATGTTATTTGGGTGGAGTATATCTAGCAAGCTAGCATGTTCTTATTGCAAAGCAAACAAAAGCTTTTATCATAAGAAAAATAGAATAAAAAATGTTTGATTTATGTTTCATTTGGGACAGTTTTTTTGCTACTTTCTAAAACAGCTTTTAAGTAAAAAAATTTCGTGAATTGAAAATTTTTGTACTAGAAAGCTGTTTTAGAAAGCAGCAAAAAAGCTGTCTCAAACGAAGGCTTAATTGTCATAGATGATTTTTACCTCTAAATCATGTGCTCATATGAGAACAATTCAATGATTATAAGAGTATTCAATTCTAGTACTTGAATATAGAAAGAATGATACATAATTAAAAAAATAAAATGAGTCATCCGATTGAGCATTATAGAATTTGTTCTAAATTTATCAATATGTTACACTAGAAAGCTATAAATAGGCCAATATTCTTCACATAAAGGGGACTGATAAAGAACTTTGAGATAGCTTAGAGACCCGAATAATTCCAAAACCATGATTGACACTTATGTCAATAGTCACCACTAACAATCTCTGTCACTTGAACACTGTTGCTCAGTCATCGCCATCTGATCATCATTGACCAATCACTATAACTTGCCCATACTCGTCCAATCACATTGGTCTAATCGCTACGAGTCATCCATTATTGACATAACAAATGTAGCTCATTTGTCATAATTCAACAAATGTTGTTCAATTGCCATAGCACGTCCCATTGCCCGACTTCCATCACTAGATCACCATTGATTGACTGCTTCTGCATGGCTATCATCACCAATATTCATTACATCTCTAGCATTTTTCATCACATTAATACAAAGTCAAGCTTATGTTCAATACTTTCTAATCATATTTTTTTCAGACTGAAAGATATATGTGTGTGTGTGTATTTTCAAAATAGTCCCCAGACTATTCATGTATGGTCAATTTAGCCCAAGAGTATCACATTACCCCAATTCAATCAATTGACTATATAAAATTGATCCAAAATAATCGTACGAGTATAAAATTGACCCCAATTTAGTCCATCAACTTTTCAAAATTTATCATGATTTACTCCCAAAGATATCATTTTGAATCAATTTTATATAAACGAGGGATCAAATTGAAACAACATTATATTCTAAGACTAAAATAACCATATATAAATAATCTATAGACTATTTTGAAATTTAATCTAAATAATATGACTAAGAAAACTCTATTTATGAAAAAAATATATTTATTAATATGTTTATTCAAAAAACCTTGCCATCAATAAATAATCAATCATATCAACAGCTATAAACACATATGCATTGAAAGACAATTTCATCATAGGGAATGCAGGCTCCAAAGCCTCTCAGCTTTCTGAAGCAGCGTCCTCTACAGATGGGAAGGTTGCAGCTGTCTGGCGTAAGAATCACTGAGCATGTCTTCTGTGCCTCTACCGTTGGAACCATTATTTCTGCTGCGAATTTAGGAAAAAATAAATTACATTAATAAAAAAACTCAATCAAGCATTAGAAAATCAGTTTGATAAATTGATTATTTATGCCTAAGCTTTCTTGCTGCTTTTTAAAACAATTTTTTAGCACAAAAATTTAAAATTTTATGGTATAAAGCTGTTTTAAAAAGCAGTAAGAAAGTCATCCCAAACGAGGTTGTAGTCAAAAGATTACGATAAAAGAATTAAATAGAAAAGATCAATGCTTCCCAAAAAATAAAATATTTGTTCCTATTTTCGGGAGGAAAAAAAAGATAGAAAAAGAAATTTTGATGATCTTTTGCAAATGAAAAATATAAAGATTAAGGGTCATTTGGGATGACTGTAGTATTTTATAAAAGTGATTATAAAGTTGTTACAAAGAAAGTAAATTTTTTAAAGCTGTTGTAGAAAATAGTTTTCTAGTACAAAATTTTCTTGAATGAAATAAAAAAACATTAGATAAATAGAAAACTATGATTGCACTCTGAAATATAAAATAATAAGAAAGTTATTCCAAACGAAACCTAAATCATTGGGTAAATGATGAGATTTCATGCAAAAACTCTTTTATTACCTGAAAGAAAAACAAAGAGGATCAAAAGAAGGAAGGAAACTGTAGAAGCTGACTTGGCCATTGTTGATCTGAGCAGTTAGCAAAAAGAAAACAAAGCAGTAATTGTTGTGAAGGAAATGGTTTAGCAATTTATTGATGAAGTGCCAATACAATACATCTCTCTATATATATATATATACAATTAGGGCAACAATGGCTGATGTACAGTGGTACCTGAAATAGAATATTGGCTACTAAAATAGGTATTGTACATCAAGATCAAATAGGCAATTGGTTAAAATATGTTTTCTTTAAATATTTGTTGATGAGAATTAAACAGGTAGATTTTGGTTGCCTTGTCTCAAGCAATAAGCTGGTGGCTTAAACAATAGGCTAACATCTCTCCTGTTTTTAGTGGCAACTTCTGTCATGCAAAGCAGGGGTGTCAATATTTGATACGATATAAAAATTCGACCCGGACTCGACCCGAAAATTATGGGTTGGACCCGACCTGA